CGTGCGTGAATCCTCGTTCGCAATATACGGTCGGACGACGGGTCCGTGAACAGCGGACAAGGTCGTCGTTCGCGACTCTTGGCCGCGACGTGCATCGCAGGAAATCCATTTTTGCAGCCTACATATTCGCGAAAATCCGCGAGGAGTTTTTAGGGGCGCCCACTCTGTCTCGATGGACGGCCTAACCGGCATTCGTTCGTCGGGTCACGAATTCGCTGTTGTCTGCCGGGACAGACATCGACAATGATCCTTTCGCAGGTTCGCCTATTGAATCCTTGTTACGTGTTCTCTTTTCCCTAAATGACAAGTCTTACTGGGCATCACGCGTTGACGCGGGTTCGTCGGCGCCCGTGCGCGAATCCTCGTTCGCAATATACGGTCGGACAACGGGTCCGTGAACGGCGGACAAGGTCGTCGTTCGCGACTTTTGGCCGCGACGTGCATCGCAGGAAATCCATTTTTGCTGCCTACGTATTCCTGAAAATCCGCGAAAGAGTTTTTTGGGGCGTACACTCTATCTCGATGGATGGCCTAACCGGCATTCGATCTTCGGGTCTCAAATTCGCTGTTGTCTGCCGGGACAGACATCGATAATGATCCTTTCGCAGATTCGCCAATAGCATCCTTGTTACGTGTTCTCTTTTCTCTAAACGATAAGGCTTACTGGTCTTCTCGCGTTGACGCGGGTTCGTCGGCGCCCGTGCGCGAATCCTCGTTTGCAATATACGGTCGGATTACGGGTCCGTGAGCGGCGGACAAGGTCGTCGTTCGCAACTTCTGGCCGCGACGTGCATCGCAGGAAATCCCTTTTTGCTGCCTACATATTCGCGAAAATCCGCGCTGAAGTTTTTTGGGGCGCCCACTCTATCACGATGGACGGCCTGACGGGCATTCGTACGTCGGGTCACGAATTCGCTGTTGTCTGGCGGGATAGACATCGACAATGATCCTTTCGCAGGTTCGACTATAGAATCCTTGTTTCATATTCTCTTTTCTCTAAACGATAAGATTTTCTGGTCTTCTCGCGTTGACGCGGGTTCGTCGGCGCCCGTGCGCGAATCCTCGTTCGCAATATACTGTCGGACGACGGGTCCATGAACGGCGGACAAGGTCGTCATTTGCAACTTTTGGCCGCGACGTGCATCGCAGGAAATCCATTTTTGCTGATACATATTCACGAAAATCTGCGCAGGAGTTTTTTGGGGCGCCCACTCTATCTCGATGGACGGTCTGACTGGCATTCGTACGTCGAGACACGAATTCGCTGTTGTCTGGCGGGACAGACATCCACAATGATCCTTTCGCAGGTTCGCCTATAGAATCCATGTTGCATATTCTCTTTTCTCTAAACGATAAGTCTTACTGGACTTCTCGCGTTAACGCGGGTTCGTCGGGGCCCGTGCGCGAATTCTCGTTCGCAATATACGGCTGGACGACGGGTCCATGAACGGCGGAGAAGGTCGTCGTTCGCGACTTTTGGCGGCGACATGCATCGCAGGAAATCAATTTTTGCTGCCTACGTATTCGTGAAAATCCATGCAGGAGTTTTTTGGGGCGTCCACTCTGTCTCGATGGATGGCCTAACCGGCATTCGATCTTCGGGTCTCAAATTCGTTGTTGTCTGCCGGGACAGACATCGATAATGATCCTTTCGCAGATTCGCCAATAGCATCCTTGTTACGTGTTCTCTTTTCTCTAAACGATAAGGCTTACTGGTCTTCTCGCGTTGACGCGGGTTCGTCGGCGTCCGTGCGCGAATCCTCGTTTGCAATATACGGTCGGACTACGGGTCTGTGAGCGGCGTACAAGGTCGTCGTTTGCGACTTTTGGCCGCGACGTGCATCGCAGGAAATCCATTTTTGCTGCCTACATATTCGAGAAAATCCGCGCAAGAGCTTTTTGGGGCGCCCACTCTATCTCGATGGACGGCTTGACTGGCATACGTACGTCGAGTAACGAATTCGCTGTTGTCTGGCGAGACAGACATCCACAATGATCCTTTCGCAGGTTCGCCTATAGAATCCTTGTCACACATTCTCTTTTCTCTTAACGATAAGTCTTACTGGACTTCTCGCGTTGACGCGGGTTCGTCTGCGCCCGTGCGCGAATCCTCGTTCGCAATATACGATCGGACGACGGGTCCGTGAGCGGCGGACAAGGTCGTCGTTCGCGACTTTTGGCGGCGACGTGAATCGCAGGAAATCCATTTTTACTGCCTACGTATTCGCGAAAATCCGCGCTGGAGTTTTTAGGGGCGCCCACTCTGTCTCGATGGACGGCCTAACCGGCATTCGTTCGTCGGGTAACGAATTCGCTGTTGTCTGGCGGGACAGACATCGACAATGATCCTTTCGCAGATTCGCCTATAGCATCCTTGTTACGTGTTCTCTTTTCTCTAAACGATAAGGCTTACTGGGCATCACGCGTTGACGCGGGTTCGTCGGCGCCCGTGCGCGAATCCTCGTTCGCAATATACGGTCGGACGACGGGTCCGTGAACGGCGGACAAGGTCGTCGTTCGCGAATTTTGGCCGTGACGTGCATCGCAGGAAATCCATTTTTGCTGCCTACATATTCGCGAAAATCCGCGCAAGAGTTTTTAGGGGCGCCCACTCTGTCTCGATGGACGGCCTAACCGGCATTCGTTCGTCGGGTAACGAATTCACTGTTTTCTGCCGGGATAGACATCGACAATGATCCTTTCGCAAATTTGCCTATAGCATCCTTGTTACGTGTTCTCTTTTCTCTAAACGATAAGGCTTACTGGTCTTCTCGCGTTGACGCGGGTTCGTCGGCGCCCGTGCGCGAATCCTCGTTCGCAATATACGGTCAGACGACGGGTCCGTGAACGGCGGACAAGGTCGTCGTTCGCGACTTTTGGCCGTAACGTGCATCGCAGGAAATCCATTTTTCCTGCCTACATATTCGCGAAAATCCACGCAAGAGTTTTTAGGGGCGCCCACTCTGTCTCGATGGACGCCTAACCGGCGTTCGTTCGACGGGCCACAAATTCGCTGTTGTCTGGCGGGACAGACATCGAAAATGATCCTTTCGCCGCTTCGCCTATTGAATCCTTGTTACGTGTTCTGTTTTCTCTAAACGATAAGTCTTACAGCACTTCTCGCGTTGATGCGGGTTCGTCGGCGCCCGTGCGCGAATCCTCATTCGCAATATACGGCTGGACGACGGGTCCGTGAACGGCGGACAAGGTCGTCGTTCGCGACTTTTGGCCGCGACGTGCATCGCAAGAAATCCATTTTTGCTGATACATATTCGTGAAAATCTGCGGAGGATTTTTTTGGGGCGCCCACTCTGTCTCGATTGACGGCCTGACCGGCATTTGTTCGTCGGGTCATGAATTCGTTGTTCTCTGCCGGGACAGACATCGACAGTGATCCTTTCGCAGGTTTTCCTATAGAATCCTTGTTACGTGTTCTCTTTTCTCTAAACGATAATTCTTACTGTACTTCTCGCGTTAACGCGGGTTCGTCGGTGTGCGTGCGCAAATCGTCGTTCGCCCGGCGGACAAGGTCGTCGTTCGCGACTTTTGGCCGTGACGTGCATCGCAGGAAATCCATTTTTGCGGATACATATTCACGAAAATCTGTGCAGCAGTTTTTTGGGGCGCCTACTCTGTCTCGATGGACGGCCTGACCGGCATTCACGAATTCACTGTTGTCTGCCGGGACAGACGTCGACAATGATCCTTTCGTAGATTCGCCTATTGTATCCTTGTTACGTGTTCTCTTTTCTCTAAATGATAAGGCTTACTGGTCTTCTCGCGTTGACGCGGGTTCGTCGGCACCCGTGCGCGAATCATCGTTTGCAATATACGGTCGGACGACGGGTCCGTGAGCGGCGGACAAGGTCGTCGTTCGCAACCTTTGGCCGCGACGTGCATCGTAGGAAATCCATTTTTGCTAATACATATTCGCGAAAATCCACAAAGGAATTTTTTTGGGTGCCCACTCTGTCTCGATGGACAAACTGACCGTCATTCGTATGTCGGGTCTCAAATTCGCTGTTGCCTGCCGGGACCGACATCGACAATGATTCTTTCGAAGATTCGCCTATAGAATCATTGTTACGTGTTCTCTTTTCTCTAAACGATAAGGCTTACTGGTCTTCTCGCATTGACGCGGGTTCGTCGGCGCCCGTGCGCGAATCCTCGTTCGCAATATACGGTCGGACGACGGGTCCATGAACGGCGGACAAGGTCGTCGTTCGCGACTTTGGCCACGACGTTCATCGCAGGAAATCCATTTTTGCTGCCTACATATTCGCGAAAATCCGCGCAGGAGTTTTTAGGGGCGCCCACTCTGTCTCGATGGACGGCCTGACCGGCATTCGTACGTCAGGTCACGAATTCGCTGTTGTCTGTCGGGCATTCGTACGTCGGGTCACGAATTTGCTGTTGTCTGCCGGGACAGACATCGACAATGATCCTTTCGCAGGTTCGCCTATAGAATCCTTATGACGAGTTCTCTTTTCTCTAAACGATAAGGCTTACTGGACTTCTCGCGTTGACGCAAGTTCGTCGACACTCGTGTGTGAATCCCCGTTTACAATATACGACTGAACAACAGATTCGTAAACGACGATCATCATTTGCAACTTTTGGCCGCGACGTGCATCGCAGGAAATCCAACTACTTCACTCCATTTTTTAAATACTTGAGCACAATATTTTTTGTGCGGATCAAATTTCGAAATATTGTTTATTTTTGTCAAACTATAAGAAAAGTACTATTTTCCCTTATTATATATATATATATAAACCAAATGAAGTATTTCAGGAGAGTAATATTTTATTCACCACTTAATCTAATAAAAATTAACACTTTGCAATAATTTAGATGGAACAGATATAAACATAAAAAAAGAATCCTTAAACAATCATAAATCACTTAAAACATCTGTTCTATTCCAAAAACCACTAAAACATACATATATGAATTACCAAAGTTTCGCTCGACAGAACTCGTCTGGCTGTTGCCTGCAATAATATCTCTACTCAGATTCAAATTGGTATGATGCAATGGCCTGCTAATGCTCTAATCAGATCAACCCCGAAAAGAGTCGATACGTTAACAAAATTCCAACAACCAAAGCCTATTAACCTTACTGGCAGTCGAATACACAGCAAAATTTTTGGGGGTCGATTTAGTGTTTAATTCTTCGAAATCGCCTCACTACAAGATTTTTGTCCGATGGAGAAGAAGCCTTCCATTAACGGATTTAAGGCAATACTCGGATCTTGTGTTTTGTCCGAGGAGACAACAAAGAGAGGGACAATTTGGGGTATCATGTGCCTGGAAAGATAACATTTTTGTAAGCGTAGTGACAAGGGATTTAAAGAAATTAATCTTGACTAACGGAGCACTTACCAGTATGATTCTGCGCTGTTTGATCCGCAAAATATCCATCTGTTTGGCAAAAGCCCGGCTCCTGTGTGAGAAGATGCTACGAAACTGTAATTGGAGATTCCTGTCGTTATTCGAACACGCAAGAGGATTGTTGAATTGAATCAAGAAAATTGTTTTATGTTGCATACCAGAGGCTGCTTAAATTCTTCGATCCATTTGGTTTTAATGCTCCAAGTGTTTTATCTTCTCAAGAAAGTTTTGCATTCTTTGGTGGGCATCAGCAGGGAGGCGATCTGCGGCTGATAATTTATATTGTTCGAATTTCATCTCATCACACTTCAACGCAGCAGTTTTGCAAGCCTTGATGCTTCTTAACAGCAAGAATGAACATATAAAAAAATTGTCGAAACAAAAGCATAGGATCATATCGTAAGACACAGCAAGCTTAGAAACTTCCAAGATCAGAAAATTAATAATAACAATAAACCCTAGAACCCGCAAACACCGAGAATTCCAAGAAACACATTTCATGTAAAATTAGAAAGCTGGAACTTAGGAGTTTAAAAACACAACTCAGATTCACTTTTCTTGTTATGCAATTCCTAACATCGAGGCAATAAATTTCCCAAATACAAAAACAACAATGGCCATGCCGTGGAATTTTGACCTCACTAAAACTAACACATGAAGAATGCATCAACCTCACATGAATTGAAAATTTGTGGCTGAAAACATTATGGTTGTGTTCTTTTGTGGATTTTTTGAGATTTTCACTATTCAAATAATCTTCTTCTCAAAAATACATCAAATCAAACCCCTATTTTTCTTTTTTTATATTATACCAAAAATCAATTTTATATTCAAAACATAATATCGAACACTTATTTATATCAAATCAAAATTTTCAATTTCAAAAATCCAAATCCAAACCCTCAAACAAACAAATCTGATCAACATAGACCCTATCTGATCAACATCAGAACCATCAAATCAATGTAGCATATTATGAGTTGCCCATATAATTAAACACCCATATACGGAAAACTTTTAGTTTCGAAAAGGTTGGAAGCCAAGAACTAGAATAAAATGGAATAGAGACATTGGCTTACCACTAAGGTCAAGAAGGTTGAACACCACATGACAGTTTCCAATAGTCCTAACCAAGGTAACGGCTGCCCATACTTTCTGGTAATCCTCCCTTGAAGTTTGGAATATACAGAGTTTTGTAAGTGGATTCACATACTTCACTGCAGATATCAAAGTCGCAGCATCAAACACAACACATTGCAGACAAGTGAATTCATACAGTGATAAAGGGATAAGTGGCCCCAAGAAGTAGTCTCACCTTGGAATGAGTTTGTCGACGATGCTAGACCACATTCCCCAAAGTTTGAGAGAATGCTATCTTTGACGGCTTTCGATAAATTGAATTGAGTGATTATAATTGGGTCATCCGCCGAAAGATCTTTATTGGGATCCAGGAAAACCTCCATCACCATATATCTATTCTTAAATCCTACCATGGTGCTTCACCTTCAAAGTCAATCAAAATGTAAATTGTCAAAGTTCTACACATTCTTTTTTTATAACAAAAATGTACTCATTCTTAATTGTGTAGACAGTTGGTTGCATTGAAGATTATATACACAGAAACATCCGATTATAAATTTAACCAAAACATAAGGCAAAAAAAACCCTAATCTAATTCCATCCATGTTTTGGACCTTGGCCTACAAACAACATACGTTTTTATTACACACAACATAATTAGTACTCCCTCCGTCCTAAAACAATAGTCTTGTTTACTATTTTTGTTCGTCCCAAAACAATAATCTTATTTCCATAAATAACCATGTCACTATATACCTTTTCTTACTCTTTCATTATTATTAAACATTTGTCATTATCTTTTACACTAATACACTTACAAGAGCAAAAACGTCTTTTACCTATACTTTCTACCCACTATCAATATAATATCAATGTTCCTTAAATCTCGTGCCCAACACAACCAAGACTATAGTTCCGAAACGGAAGGAGTATACTGTATAAAAGTATGTTGTGTGCTAGTGTTGATACTCCCTCCATCCAACCAAAATTGAATCATTTGATTAGGGACACGGTATTTAAAATAAAGATGTTTAATTAGGTAATAATAATTAGTTCTAATATTATTTTTTATATAATTAATAATATTTATAGTTTGAAAGTAAATTTAATATATATGTTTAAAAAAATCAAAATATATGTTTAAATATTTAAAAATTATATAGCAATTAAAAATATATGTAATATGAATATTATTTTGTAGAGAATAAAATTTTCTATAATATACGTAAATAAAAAAATATTTTTGTTTATTTATAATTAACATAAATTTGTGTAGTTTTAAATATAGATAAAAATATTTATTTTTTTGAGGAGGGAGATAGAAATAAAAGGGTTTTGAGTGAGTCCTACTTCATTTATGATGTTATATGTTAAGTTGATTTATATATTTATATTTGTTAAATATGTTTAGATTTAATAATTTTTACCAAAAAAAAAAAAAATGTGTCAATTGTTACGGGACATACAAAAATGGAAATAATGTCAATTGTGGTGGGACGGAGGGAGTATTTATATTATATTAAATGTTTGTAGTAATCAAAGGCTGAACTCGGATGCAAACTTGAAAAATAATTTTGACAAAAGAAAATGAATTGTAGATGGATTTCAAAATTAGAAGATTTTCATTGACACCATAAAATCAAATTAAAAAAAACAAAAAAAACAAAAAAAAAATTCAAATTTGGGAAAACTCCGAGAACATTTGAATGTGTATCCGAAAAAGCGTTGGTACTCGATAACTCAAATATAATGGATGGTTAATGGTGAAGGTTCAAATATTTTTACACCTAAACTGCTGTAGAGTCAATTATAACATCGCATAGGCATTAAGAGCGACCGTAAATCCTCAGATATCCATGAAAGTTCAAATCAAACACTTCGTTGGTTCAACGAATTGTCATACGGCACTTGCAATTTTATCTGCACTCATCATTGGATTACGGTAAATGTACCAACACCATACACACATAACACACATACGTATACAAAGTCCTATAAATTTTGTAGAAGAACTGAAATTACAAAACAATCAATTACAAAAAATAAAAAAATAAAAAATAAAATATCACCTAGCCGGACATAATAAGATTCAAAATCCACCAGGCGCAAGAGAAAGAAGACAGATACTTCAAGTTCAATGAAAAAATCCAAATCCAAATGTAACAAAGGGGCGATAAGAATGATCAGGTAGAGCTAATACATGATAAACAACCATCATATGGGCTATCAATCCATCTTTATTAGTCATCACTTCATTCTAACACACCAGTTACGGATGAACACAATCATCAAAATCCCAGGGGTTCTCAGATAAGCCCAAAAGAAAAAATTAAATAAACTATTTGTACGTTTCACAAAATGACACAACCGCCGAAGAAGAGGAAGAAGGAGAGGAGAAGTCGAACCTTACAGCAAGCGGATGGCAGACGACGGCCGGACAAAGACGACGGCGACGTCGGAGGGGACGATGAAGACGAAGCCGAAACCGGAGAAAACGAAGACGGATAAAAAAAAAAAAAAAAAAAAAAAAAAAAAAAAAAAAAAAGAAGGGAGAGAAGAGAGGAGGAATGAGTAGAGAGGTAGAACAAAGATTTAATAAGAGAGGATGTGGAAGAGGAGCGGCGGTGGGCGGTTGATTTAGGGTTTTGGGGCTGTGCGTGTTGTTTCTTTAGGGTTGTTTTAGGGCGGCGGCGCCGGGCGGTTGATTTAGGGTTTTATTTTTAAGTTTGTTTTAGGGCTGCGGCGGCTGTTAGATTCAGGGTGGATTTGCTTGGATCTTTTATTTTGAGTTAGTGATTTGAATAATGATATTATTGGTATTTTGAATATAAAATTTATTTTTAATTATAATATAAAAAAAATTATGTATATTTAATTTGATATTTTATAAAAAAATATAATTAATTAATAATAAAAATTTTGACAAACTTTCGAAGCAAAATTTTTCTGCAATTTTGTAATTTTTTATTTCACAAATGAGGTTTGACATGACAAGTTAAATTACCTTATGACCAGACAAAATATCAAAGTCAGAAATTTATAAATTTGATTTTAGATCGATCCGAATCGATTAACTGAATAAACCAAATCAATATGTCTTAACATGAGACCATTGTACGTTCTTTTAGAGTCTTTTATATATATATATATATATTTAACATGGAAATTCGTAGCTGGTTACGTTTTGGTTAGGGGTGTCAAAAGTAAATTCGATCCGAAAAATCGAATTCGTTCGACCTGAAATTTTTAAGGTTCGGGTTTAGGTATTTCGGGTTTGAAAAAAATTGGGTCGATCCGAACTTGAAACGAAAAAATTCGTGTCGTGTTCGGATGGTGTTTTGGGTTAACCTGATAACCTGAAATATCAAAATCAGGTTAGGTTTTGAGTTTCGTGTTTCGGGTTGACATGAAATTTTTATTATTATTTTAATTTATAGTATTTATATTATTTTAAATAATTTATATTAACTAAAATAGAAATGATATTTTTTAGGTCAATTTAATTTTTTTTAAATTTTCGGGTCTGTTTTGTGTCGGGTTCGTATCAGGTTTGTTCGGGTTTCGGGTGACCTGAAACTAATTCAGGTCAACCTGAACCCGACCTGAAAGAATTCATGTCGTGTTCGGATCTAGGGTTTCAAGTCAGATTTCGGGTTCGGGTTCGGGTTGACAGTTTTTTTGTTATCCCCATGGCTCAACCTGACACGAACATGATCCAAAAACACAAATTAGCACCCCTAGTTTTGGATGAACCCTGGTCGAATCTAATAGCCTGCAAATTAAGTTCGACAAGGCAAGTCATACTAGACGAATCAATTATATTTGTTTGAGATTTCAATTGTATCTGTATATACTTCTTTTATACTTTCTCCGTCCCAATTTAAAATATTATTTTTATCATTTTGTTTGCTTATTTCAAAGTATCATTTTTTATTTTAAAAAAAATAATCATAAACTAATACCAAAATATCTTTAATTTTTTACTTAAATTACAAATATATCATTACACATATAATTATTTTATACAAAAAATTAAAAAACAAAAATATTAAAATCTTTTACATATTTTCACTAATTAATAAAATATTATTATTTCTTATTTTATTATAAAATCTTAAAAAACTCATTTCAATTTTTTTTTTTTTTTTCATCCGTTAGTAAGACGTTTTACTTACGGATAAGTCAATCAAATTTGCAAATTGGACAATGATAAACTAATAATCTCTCATAATTCAACAAAATTGTCAATTTATGCAATGAGAAACTAACAAGAATTCGATCAAATCTGCAATTTATACAATGAGATAATAATAATAGTAATAATAATAATAACAAGTTTGAATATTTATTACTTCCTTCGTCCATATCTATATATCCGTTTGTTTTTTACACATAATTTTATAAATATTAATATAATATTGAAATATAGTATAATTAAAGGTAAAAAAGAATAAACTAACCTTATTAGTATTATCATATAAAGGTAATGACATTTTTGTAATATATTATAAATTAAAATAGTAATTGGAATATTAGGTATATAGTAGATGAATACTAAAAAAAGAAATCGATATTTTGTTATGTGATAGTGTGTTTGTTTGGGGGTTTGGATTTTGAGTTGGGATTTGAATAGTAAAAAATTTTGAATTTGAATAGTTGTATGATGTGATATAATTAGGTGTTTATGCAATATTTTGAATGTAAAATTGATTTTTTAGTATTATATAAAAAATGAAAAATAGGTGTTTGATTTGATATTTAAAAAAAAAAAAAAAAAAAAGGATGAATAGTGAATTTAAAATTCAATCCCCCAAACAAAAACACCAATACGGTGGGACGGATTAGGTATTATTTTTATTATTAGTAATATATATACAAATCTAAACTATATCTAATTAATAAGTGATTAACATTGCATGAATTGGGAATTCGATATTCTAAAGTAAATTTGAATTATGATTTATTATGTTTGTTACTCCCTTCGTCCCATAAAATATGTGACTATTATTGTAGATACGAGAATTTAAGTAAAATATAATTAGTAAATAATTAAGAAGTGTATTAGTAAACATAATAATTATTTAGTAAAAATAATTATAGATTAAGATTAAGATAAGTAAATAGTTTAATTAAAATTAAGAAAATTATAAAATTTAAAATTTAAAATGCGATTAAAGTGCATAATTATATTTTCAAAAATAGAAAAAATAAATTATGCGGGACGAACAAAAGTAGAAAATAGAAACAAATTATGTGTGACGGATGTAGTATTTAATAAATTGCTATAAATAGTTACCAAAATCAAAATATATTTAAATTATGAAGGGTTATGGGTTTCTCATTGTATAAATTGCAAATTAGATTGTACAAATTAGTTGAATTACTAATGATTATGTCCACATTTCATAAATTGCACATTATATTTATGTCTTAATTCAAAAAAATAAAATTGGCAAAAATTTTCATCCATTCAAAAAGAAATGGTAACTACAATAAATAAATTAATAAAAATCACATATATATATATATATATATATCGATCTTTGTAAACATAGTATTGGAAAAAGTAAAAAATAAAAAATCATTCAAATATTTTTTATTTTCTTAAAAAATTGAACACAATGAAGTCATCTTCCATGATCATTATTCTCATCATACTAGCCTCAGGTAAATTTATTTATTTATTTATTTTTTTAAGCTTGCCAAGTAATTAATTTTTTCTTTTGAAAAATAAATTTTAAAAAATCACATTGTAAGGTTTGTTGTTACTTATTAAAAATTATAAAAGTATTATTATTATTATTTTAAAAATATGTGATAAGAAATTATATATATTTTTATTGATAATAATAAAAATTGAAAGAAACTAATATTATTCCCATAATAAAAAATAAAAATTAAAAATTATTATAATGCAAAATACATTTTTATCATATTCGGTACTAACACATGTATTTACAAATGTTTGGACAATTTGCGCAATTTGTAGTTGGCAACATAGTACGGTCCGAGGAAAATTTTACTGATGCCGCTCAAATAAGTATAAAAGAGCACGGCGTATGCCAAGAAGGTCTAGGTCGATGCAGTCTAGAAGGATGTAATGAAGATTGTTGCAAACAAAAATGCGCTCAAAGGCATACGGGACCTCGAGATTATCCAAGGGCTTTTTGCCAGACTTTATTTCCGACGAAGTTGTGCATTTGCTCTTGGGATTGCTAGATTTTCGAGAGAAAAATAAGTAAAATAATTAAGATGGATTTTAAGAAGTCGTGTAATTTTATAATTCAATTGAATGAAACTTCGAGTGTTTATCATTGCATTTTTTTTCCGAATATATCTCTCTATTATATAATGTTCATAAACACTCCAATAATGTGAGATATGACTCATAATTTGATAATTTAAAGACATAAATTGATTTTTTTTTTTAATTTAAGAAAAAAAAAAACTTTAAAGTATGTTTGGTAGTTTTTTTTTTTTTTTTTTTAAGGATTCCTAATATTAATTCATTTTTTTACCCTAAAAATATAAGAATTTTATTTTTTTATATCATACTACCTCCGTCTAGCCAGGAAGTAAACATATATTTTTGCGTCATTGTATTTAACATTAAAAATATTTATATATTTGTATAGTTTACTCCAAAAATATGATTATGTTTGTATTATAAGAGACTAATAGATGTATTTTTGTCATTTTCTCTTTATTTGTATTATATTTTGATATAATAATTAATATTCAAATATCAACAAAAAAAAAATCACGGTATGTATACTTTATGGCTGGACGGAAATAGTACATTTTTTTTAAAATAACATATTATATAATCGTTCATTTTAATTCTAAGTATTTACTATTTTCAACCTCAAACACAAACTGAACTTCCAATCCTAGCCAAAACTAACTATAAAGGCTCCATTTGGATGGCTTTTGGGAGCCATTTCGACAAAGTTGTGTTTACTATACTTTTAGATCACTATATTGTTAGGGTGTGTTTGTTCGGGGTTGAGATTTTTTTTTTTTTTTTTTTTTTTTTTGAGTTTTAAATAATAAAAATTTTAATTAAAATAATTATTTGATATGATATAAATAAGTGTGATATAATACTTTGAATTGTAAATTTAATTTTTAATTTATGTATGTATATGATATATTTTTTTGTCCACTAAAAGTAGATATATATTGCTATTTAGGGTGTAGATAAATAAGAGACATTTTTTTATTATTATTTATTTACTAAGTGTGCGGGTTTGTAATTTGATCTTGATATGAAATTAAAATTTTTATTTGAATTTTGATTTAAATAGTATTTTAAGTTGATATTTTATATGTGGTAAAATAACATATGTTTATTACATGATGAATCATGAAGCTTTTGATATGAATTTTTTTTTTTTAAAAAAAAAACACCTATAATTTCGTGTCATTTTACATAAAATAAAAAATACCAATTTTATTACACATTCTTATTATATGTAAGCACTACCAATTACAATCCAATGATATCGATATTTTAATTTTTACATACTTACACCCTATATATATAATATAATATATTACAATTTATTAATTAACATGCAAACTAGTGTGTTCTTTTATCAAATATTATACAATTTTTACTATTTATTAAAAAAGAATTTCATAAAAAATTAAATTAAATATCTATTTTTTATTTTTTATATTATATTAGAAAAATTTTATATCATACAATTATTTAAATTTAAAATTTTTGTTATTCAATTTCAATCGAAAATTCAAACTTCCAAACAAACACGCTGAAATGTGTAAAAAAATTTCTCGTAGCAAATAGCATACACAATGATGGATAAAATCATGATTATTGAAAATAAAAAAATATATATAAATTGACACATCCTAAATTAATTTCGTATGGGCGAGGATTATTACATCTCATCTTTTATAAAAGTTGTAGCATCATAACTATAATTATAAATCATATTTTGTTGTTTGACGCAATCTAAACCGATGAACTTGATTACTTGCTAAGATTACATGTTGAAAATCTGAAATACGTAACGACTATGAGTTTTTATGTTATTGAAAAAAAAGGGATCGGTGGAAATTAATATGAAAGTTTATTGGACAATAAAAAAAGACAATTAAAGATTAACCTTATATTGTTGATCTTAATTACAAGAAAGATGTTGCGGAAATCACGGCAAATTGCAAGATGGGCAAGCGGGGGACGTCTCGTTGGACCGAGTACTTAGTCCGGTGAAAAGGTGCGCCGGATAGCGAAGCAACGTGGAATTTTGAACAAGACCTATGACAATTCAAGTTCCACATCGAGAAATACCGAGCAAGTACTTGACGAGGACATCAAGATTTAGGTGGGAGAGAATTGTCACGATGAGGCTTCGAGACGATTGCGATAGAATAGTATTTCCAAACTTAGGGTTTTCTCTTGTGCAAAGGAATTTACTCAAATTTGACGGAAGTTTCTAGATTTGGAATATTCTTTGACATATTCTGGAATTAGTTTGAAAAGGAATATTCTCTGGCATATTCCGAAACTATTTTGGAATGTTGTATAAAATATTCTAAATCGTTGATAGTGGCATAGAGTAGTCTTTTGAAGTCTTTAGCCTATAAAAGGGCCTCTATCCCTCTCATTTTTATTCATTAAACTATTAACAATTCTAAGTGTTCATAAGTTTCTCTCCACATTTTCTCTTTCTAGTTGTTTCTCTATCTATAAAGCTTTTGGCCTTTATGGTGCTTAGCCGAGTCGGAAAGCCTGCCTAATAGCCAACGGAGCAAGTTGTTAAGGGACACATCGTTATTTCGATGGATTGAAGTTAACTCGTGACATGAATAGTCACGATCAGGCTTCGAGATAATCACGGTACGGTTGTTTTTTTATACTTAGAATTTTCTCTTGTGCAAAAGAATTCACTCAAACTTGGCGGAAGGTTCTAGACTTTAAATATTTCCTGGCATATTCAGAAACCATTTTGGAAGGTGCTATAGAATATTATAGATCGTTTTACATATAGCTGTGATAGTTGTACATTTTACAATAGTCTTGTGGAGTTCTTGGTCTATAAAAGGTCTCCACCCCTCTCATTTATATTCACTTAAGCATTGGCAATCCAAGTGTTCATAAGTTTATCTCTACACTTTCTCTCTCTAATTGTTTTTCTCTCTAGAAAGCTTTTGGCGTTTGTATGCTCAGCCAAGTTGGGAAGCCTACTTTAGTAGCCGACGGAGTGAGTTGCTAAGTGACGCACAGTTATTTCAACGGATTGAAGTTAACCCGTGACACGAATTGTCACGATCAAGCTTCGAGATGATCGCAGCAAGGTGGTTTTTTCCATACTTACGATTTTCTCTTGTGCAAAGAATTCACTCAAACTTGGGGAAGGTTCTAGACTCTCAAATATTCCGTAACATATTCTTGAACCATTTTGGAAGAGGAATATTCCCTAGCATATTTAGGAACTATTTTGGAAAATGTTATAAAATATTTTAGGTCGTTATACATATAGTTGTGATAGTTGTACATTCTAGTATTGTGGAGTTCTTGACCTATAGAAGGGTCTTCACCGCTCTCATTTGTATTCATTCAAGCATTAGCCAATTGTTCATTAAGTTTATTTCCATACTTTCTATCTCTAGAAAACTTTTGGTATTTGTGGTGCTTGGCCAAGTCGAGAAGTCTGTCTTACGTGAATATTCATTGCTCTACTCGAATGTGGGAATCTCACGATTACATAACTACCCGATGCAATAAGAATCAAAGGCTCTGTTCTTTTGGAGCATTATTTTAATAATATAATACGACAATTGCAATTTTTTATATAAAATTTACTAATTTTCTCTTATAAAGCATTACATTCATCTTACTATTCAAATCAAACTCCAAGAAACCATACAAATAAAGTGAAAAAAAAAAATGAATTCAAGAATTTATATTCATTAAAAAAAAAAAAAAAAAAAAAAAAAAAAAAAAATCCTATTTGTTGATCATGCCTGCCCGACAAAAAAAATTGATATGTAGGTACAAAAAATTGTAGCAAAATATAATGATTTTGTAGCGAAAAGGCATTTGTGACTAAATGAGTTTCGTCACATGTTTTGTTAGGTATACCATACCACGTTATTAAAGATTTTTTGCGACAAATTTAACTTTTGTAGCGAAATGTAAACTATTTGTAATGAAAGTGTGGAAATTAACGAGATTTAGCTAAAAAAATATATATAATTTTGTACCTAAAAGTCTTTTCATATAAAAATAAAATTTCATCAAAAATTTTAACAACAAAATATTAGATATAAAAAATAGCGATAAAATATTGCAAGCGATAAAATCAAATACTTTCATTGGGGATATGCAAGAGAATTTGTAGCATTCGTTCACCAAAATCCCCAAATTTCAATCATGCTAAGTTATTACGATAATTTGAATGACAAACATCGTCACAATGAACATGTGATGCAACAAGTTCTTGAATACAAGGTGTTAGGGTTTGGGAATTTACGGTTTAAGGTTATGTAGCATAGTATCAATATCGATGAAATGTTATTATTGCAGAATCTTCTCAGCTGTCCCGCGCGCATGAGTTCAGCTAAGTACACTACATTAAGTGATGTAGTGTCTAATTAGTATACGAGCGAAATTGAAGGCAAAAAATTTTCAATAAAATATAATTAAGAGGTCGTACTTGTATAAATAAGATGCGATTCCCAAAAGAATACACATTAGAATAATGTCGATGCAGAAGTTCCGGCTAGACCTCACCTGCATGTGCACGACAAAATTATTCAAGATATAAATTTGAATAATTTTTATTATAGAAAAAATACGATAGATAGTGGAAATTACGTTATGGAGTGTTTCCTTGAGTCGAACATTGTTACGCCTTAGATCACTCGATGCCTTGTCCATCTTCGAGCCACAAAAGAGAGCAATATATTAGGTCCCATATAATAAATAATTGTCTTAAAAAATGATCGGTACTTTTAGGGTTTATCGAACAAACCTTGGTATCCATCTCATCCATTAATGGAACTTGCCTATCGAGTTCCTAGCATAAACATAAAGGAAAAAAACATTGGTAATTTTCATGCTTCGATGGTAGCACGATGAGAAGGGAAATTCAAATCTATCTTAATTCAATTCATTAAGCACGGATGATCGATAATCTTGTAAAGTAATACTACTATTGAAATTTCCTTCTAAAAGAAGTAGATTGAATTTATTTTATTTGTTTTCATTGATGGACATACACCCTTTAACTATATTGGTATATTGAATTTATGTAAACCTATGTTTTAACATAAATATATATAATATTTCATATAAATTTTATTATATAATTCACTGTTACATTAGCCAGAATTTTACATAAAATCTCAATTTGTGCGTACAAATAAATGTGGCAAAATAGAGGTTCTACTCATATTATTAGCAAACACACAAGTATAAATTATATATTAAATAAAATTTAAATTCAAATATATCGAGTCTCATATTCGAAAAAATAGCATTTAAATTTTGCTCGTGCGTATATGGTAAGTAAAGAAACCTCATTCATGTCCCTTGCCAAGTTCTTTAATGTATCGAGGCCCTCGGAAATTACGTCGAGACCTTCATCCTGCAAGAACATTCGACCATCGACATATGAATAATAAAATAGAATTGAAACATTTGTTTCAGCATAATATTTTGAATAAAAAATAAATTTTGAATATAATATATATATATCAAATAAAAATAGATATATGATATGATATTTTGTTTTAGGTAAAAAAGATTATTGCAGATGAACAGTAAAAATATATATACAAGCAACAAATAATGAGTGAATAAGTTATACAAGCCTGCTTCATTTTCCGCATCTCATATTCACTTCTAAATTGCGCCGATTCATCTGATTGTTGGAAGAAATCGTTGTCCAAGCGCTCGGGATCTGACGAGGTTTATAAGCATTGTATGAATATTCGTCATAGGATCAACTTTAATTAAATTTTTTTTAAAAAAAACGATATATATATATATAATTGTGAAGGAAAATTTAAACATGAGTTGCAAAAATCACCATAGTCGAACTTTATGTTGTTACGAGACGAAGAAGCTCCCCAGCCTTGTGTGTGTTTGTTTGTAGCATTCACTTCGTCGGGTATTGCTTTAATTCTTTCTGGGAGTGTGAGAACAAGTTCGGAACGAGCTTCGAGTTCTTCTTTTGAGAGCCCTTTTACCTGTTTGAAGTTTGTTAATATTATCGAAATATAATATAGAAATTTTTGCTAAAAAGGAAAATCAATGGCTCTATTTACAAGAATATGTTTTGAACTTTTGATACTGATCATTATAGTAATTTTTTAAAAAAAATATTTTATCAAATATCTATTCTCTTGCAAAAATATCACATTAAATAATAAATCTTTATTATTCTGATTTTTGTTTTCAAAACTCCAAAACTATGAAGGTAAAAACAAAATGGATTTGTTTGGTTGTCATTTGAAATTGATTTGAAATGAAATATTAATTTAAATTTTTATTTGAATAGTATTTTGATATAATATTTTATGAAAATAAATAATATATTTCTATAAAAAAAAAATAGAAAAATATTATTGATTTCAATTTGAAACCATAAACAACACAACCTCAAAACTTGAAATCTGAGACAAAATTTGAAATAAATAGGGAGAATATTTTAAAAATATTTTTAGAATATTTTGTATTAATATATTATATATTTTATGTATTGTAGTTTTGATAAGATATATTTTAAGGATAGGAGGATTATTTAAGTTCGAATTTTTTGAATTTTGTTTATCATAAAATAAAAATATATTATTTTTTATTACAAAATATTTATATCTAAATTATTGTTCAAAAAAAATTTAAAATCAAACTCAAGTAAAGTTACCCTCTTGTTTGCAAGCTTCTGCAGCTTAGGCACCTCTTCCATGAGCCGGGCTTTCAACCGCCGGACCTCCGCATTCATCGCCACCACCTTTGCCCTATTCGTTTCCGTCGCCGCGGTCTCTGCTCTCTGATTTATATTTTTAATAATATTTTAGAAAATAAATAAATAGCCATTTTTTTTATATATATAAAAAAATGACATAGTACATACATATATATATATATGTGTTAAAGCTTGACGGATACTATTTATGAATGTTAAAATTCAGGACAGTACTAACAATATATCATGCATTAATAATACATAATATATATTTCGCATGTAACATACTTATATAGCACACTTAAAAATATAAACAAAACAACATACTCTATCCGTCTTATAACAAAGTATCTATTTACTTTTTGCGTGTTGATCTTTAAATATTAATTATTATATCAAATTGTATTGCAAATAAAGAGAAAGTGACAAAAATACTTCTATTTGTGTCTTATTATACTAATATAATGACATTTGTATAAAAAATTATACGTATATAAGATATATTTAATGTTAAGTACAATTATAGAAAAGCCAAATGGATATTTTGTTATGTGACGGAGGGAGTATAATTTTATTTCACACAATATGATATGATGTTTGTTTGTTTTATCTATACTATATGTTATTTAATACTTTCTTCGTTTCAATTCAAAATACTCCATCCGTCCCATTGAATGGTTACCATTTTCTATTGTAGTCCGTCCCAAAATAAAGTTACCATTTTCTAATTCAGTAATTGTACTACCTACCTGACACAATAAATACATTTTCAACTTACATTATATTACACAAATGTCATTACTTTTATATTATACCATACTAATAAAGGCATTTTTGTCTTTTTTACTACAATCTAATATTATATTAATATTAAAAAATCTACATGCAAAAAACAAATGCTACCCTTCCAATTGGGACGAAGGGAGTACTACTTTTACCATTTTCATCTGTCCCACTCAGTAATCAAGCACCACTACCAAAATATCATTTAACTTTTACTTAAATTGCAAATATACCATTACACATTTTATCCATAAAATTAAACGACAAAAATGTTAAAAACCTTTACACTTCCACTAATCCATAAATTACATTTTCATTAATTAATAAAATACTACTATTATTTTTTAATCTATTATAAAATTTCAAAATATTTCTTTTAGTCAGTACAGAGAGAGTATATTGATTGAAAAAATCAACCGAAAAATCAGCATAGTAACTATTTTCAAATTTGAAAACATAAATAGTGTAAGAAAACCCGAATTCATTGTTATTTAAACAAAAAATAAAATTAAAAACAACATACGACATATACACCCCCAAAATATGCTCTATGATCATCGTACGGACCTGGATGGCCGCGTCGATTTGGGATTCGAACGCCGAGTAGAGACGAGCGAAGGCATCGTCGTGGCCGGCAGAGCGCTGCTTTTCGACATCATACTTGTCGTATTTCTTGCAGATTTCGTCGACCCTGAAAAGAATGTCGATGACGCTCATTTTCTTCCGTTCCTCGTACCAATCCGAAAACCGGGTTTCAACTTCTGGTTGTCTCGAGGAATGGTTGTCTGAAGAAAATGAGAATGATAAATGCCAATTGCTTGTAATTTTCTTTGGCCGCTGCTTTTTTTGGGAGAGGTTGACCGTTAATAACGGTTATGAATAACGGTCCTAAAATTTTCTTGAAAATAAAATTAAGGATATCTAAAGATAGGGTATGTGAAAGGGGGCTTTTTTGATATTTTGAGTAAGGAGAAAAAAGTCACTAATTGTATGATTTTATTTATTTATTTGGTAAAAATAGCATCAGGGTACATCTGTCTGCTTGGAGGTTTAAATTTTAGATTTGGAATTTAAATATTCTATCCGTCTACATAATTTATGGATATTTTTTATTTTCATCGTATCCCATATGAATTAATCTTAATTAAATTATTTTAAATTTTAATAACATTTTATATTTTATATTTTATAATTTTTTTTAATTTTAATTAAATTATTTAATTATTTTAATTTTAATCTTAATATATAATTCTTTTTACTATATCATAATTATTTTACTGATACACTTCTTAATTATTTATTAATCATATTTTTATCTAAATTCTCAGTGTGTACCATAACGCACCCAAATTACCTAGGAAGGAGAAAGTAACAAATTTGAATTTAAATAATTATATAATTTAATATAAATAAGTATTAATATAAAATTTTTAAATTTTTAACATATAAAATAAAAAATAAATATTTAATTTGATTTTTTAAAACAAAAATATTTGATGCATAGTAAAATTTTGATAAAACCATTCAAACTAACACACCTCGAAAGTTGAAAATATTATGTTGTGTTTTTTTTTTTTTTTTTTGAATTTTTAGATTTTTTTAAAAAATATCAAATTAAATTTTATTTTATATTATATTACAAATTTATTTAACATACAAAATATAACATCTAATATTTATTTATGTTACATTAAACATGATCTGGACCGATTCAGCCGAGCCTATACTTCCCATTTGGGCTGACCCGGCCTGGCAAAAACACTACCCGGTCGGGCCGGTTGGACACTAATCCAGAATTATAAACCTCCCGCAAAAGGGTAAAAGATTTGCCGCGAAAAACTACGAATTGGCGCCAACGCTTTGTGCTATCTCCGAATCCTCGGCCGCAACTGTTCACTGACAATCTGCGATTGATTATGCTCTGAAATTGTTCTATGGCCAGCTTATCCGGATTTCGCCCTCCGCAATTCTCCGAGGCAAGTGCATCCCCGTTATTTTCGTGTTAATTTTTTATTTGATTGGATTTTGTTGCTAAATGTTGATGTTGATGTGGCTATTGAATGTTTTTGGTGTTAAATGTTAAAGAATTATGGATTTTGTTTAGTTTGGATGATATTCGAGCTATTTTTGTTGTGCACTTCTGTTTTCTAATTATTTTAAGAAATTGCTACTGTGACAGAGTGATGCGTGGCTCCCTGTGTGGCTTCAGAAATGTGGTTTTGGAGAATTGAATGTGGAGGGCATCGGGAAAGATTGTGTGACATTCGAGCAGCGTGTTGAGGTCATTCGTTTCTTTTCCTTTGTTCAATTCTTTGCACGTGATAGATGATTCAGGCCTTTCAAGTTTTGTATTGTTATTTTAGTCTATTCGATTCTGTAATGAGATAGGGCATAGTTTTTAGGATAAATTGCATAATACCACATGTATATACGTCATGTGTTTTGTATTTTATTTATTTTGTGAAATTCACTTGTGCTGTATCAAAACCAGCTGCAAATTATGCTAGTGTTATGCAAATAAATTGAGTAAAACATCTTATATATTAAATTTAATAAATAAATAAATAAAGTTATGGCTAGTCTTTATTTTACAAACTTTCAAATGAAGGGTTGATCAAATTTTTCTTTTATATATTTTATTCAAAGAATGGTATTTAAGATATTTCAACTTTATTTGCATAACACTTGCATAATTAGACGTGTATTTTACGAAGGTGTTTTGAACATACCTTTAGTATAACACAATGGAATTTCATGCAACAATAAATAAAATACAGAATATTTTATACAAAAACACATGTGTATTATACAATTTACTTTAGTTTTTAATCCCAAAATTGTCTGGTTTCCCTTTAGAATTGTATGATAGTGTTAGGGTGTGTTTGTTTGGGGGATTGGATTTTAAATACACTATTCATCCCATTTTTTTCCCCTAAAAACATTAAATCAAACACCTATTTTTCATTTTATATATTATATAAAAAGTCAATTTTACATTCAAAATATTAAATCAACACCTATTTATATCACATCATACAACTATTCAAATTCAAAATTTTTACTATTCAAATACCAACTCCAAATCCAAACCCCCAAACAAACACACCTTATATCTTACCTATTTTGAATTGGGTGCAATGCACATCAGAACATTGGAAGATGGAGTATAAGTAAATGAATTGAAAAGTAGTGTTCATCTGAAAAAGAAGAAGTGAAATAAGTTTGCCCTTTCAAAGATCAAATTGCAACCTTATAGGAGTAGTTTTAATGTTATTGGCATTGCAACTAAAAATGAAGCATGTAATTTGATGCAACATAAATTCCAGCATTTCTTCCAGTTGATCAGAGGCAAATTATTTATTTTCTGCTTTACTTCTTGTGCAAGACTAAACTTCATCTGATGTTTACAGGAACTAAAATTTCTTCAAGAGAGCATGGACAGTGGATCATTAATGAGGGAAGAAGGTGGATGCACTATTGGCCAATTATTTATATCGGGGACTGACAGTTTACCCTTGAGTTTTCCGCACTCTGCTGATAATGTAAGTTTTGCACTATGTGATATGAATCTAGTTCTGCCAGCATGTTCTGTTAGAAATAACAAATAAAATGTAAAACCCCTGCCTGAAGGTTTTATATCCTAAAGTCTGTCAAATCTTACCAAGAAATGCAAACAAATAGTTACACATTAATACATCTATTGTCAACTGTCAACTTTCCTAGGAATAGAATTTCTTTATTTCTTAATTCATAATTACATTGACAAACAGAAATATATTTATCTAGCAGCATAAAAAATAAAAAAAAAAAAGTCAATCATATATTATCTTATGATGCTTTTGGATCTCAAGTCTTGAACATTTTGTAAGTTATGCTTCCCTGCTCTTACTAAAGTTTGATTAAATAATGGGGTCATTTTGGTTATGGACTTTTTTAACATAGAATGGCCTTATACACATCAAAAGGATTTTTTCTTCCAAATACAATTCAAGTTATGTACAACACATACAATCAATAATAAATTGTTTCCGATAAAAAAAAATAAAAATAAAAAATTGTTGTGTTATATAGGACAAGCTATGTCAGTTCACAGTCACTGACCATGGTTAACTAATTCATGCTTTCATGTTATATATGTCTTTTCTTTGATTTTCAGCCATTGAAATTTAGTCAAACTATAATTATTGGTTCAAGGCCACATGCATTTCTTGAATATAGAAAGTTGTCTTCTTTCTGCAATGCACATTTTTGGAATGGCTTTAGTCCTGTATTTAGTTCATGCGTGGTCATTAAATTGGTTTTCTCTCCACAAAATCTTTTGTAAGGTGGTTCAGCTTCATCTCCGCCTATCATCTGATGGAAATTCAGATAACACAACTCTAACTGCCGGTGATGTAAACCAGACGGAGTCCAGTTGTCCTCATGAAATCAATGTTCTTCAAAGTTCCTCAGATTTAGCTCAGAAAGACAAACATTTTCAGGATTCTGGAATAGTAGATTGCTCTCCAGCAGTGATATTGCAAAAATCTGTAACAGAGAATGAATTCTTGGGACAGGACAAGAGTGTGAATGTTTGTGAAGATGCCAGCGATGCAGTGGAGTTATGTGTAGCAGCATCTGAAGCATTGGAAATTAACAAAGCTGTAGGGAGCGACTCACCTGCAAAAACTTCTGCATCTGCTATACTTGAAGCTTCACTTCAGGTGAAACAAGCAAGGTTAGCACTTTCAACGAACACCTGTATTGGCACGGTTGATGAAGCAGCTGAAAAAATCAATCTATGTGACATAGATGATAATTTATCCGACTTAGATGATTTAACTATGAGAAGTGCATATGAAGATGCTGGGATTCATTTTAATGAGTTTCTGGGAGATAAATTAAGTGTATCTCAAGTTAAGGACACTTTCAGTCCAGATTATGATGAGAGCTTCAATCATGAGATGGCTTCTGCTTCTGCCAATGGTAGTGGTAAATTCTGCGATAATCGAAATGTAAAAATAATTGAAGGTGGTATACACAATGAAATACAATCAACGAACCCTTTTGCTGTAGAATGTTCTGGTGCTGTCATGAGAAGGAAGTTAATTGGTAATCGCCCCTATGGTTGCTTGAGAAGAGCTGACAAGCAACATCGTGTAGTTTCAGCAAGGGTATGTGAAAACTTCAAGTTAGTATAATTTATAATGATCTTTATATTTTCCCTTTGCTTTTACACTCATGAGGTTAGCCGGCGTTAACCAAATTAGTTTATAAAGTAGAGCACATATGCCTTGACCCAAAAAATCAAGAACTGGAGAAGACTTGAGGAAAAATAGCACTTGCTGGCAGGATACTTATATATTTCCTAATTTTATGTCACTTATATGCACTATTATATTCTTCCTGCAGACAACAGTGAAAAGTAAATTGGATGAAACAAATGAGAAAATTTCCACCCTAATGAATAATCAAGTTGAGGGTAAGGTTTTATATTGGCTTTCTAAATTCTAATTTGCTATTTTCTGTGAGGAAATATTGATAAGGTGAATTTCTTCTTTTCTATGTACAGAAAAATATAGTATTATAAAAAACATATCCCAAGACCGGTTCCAAAGCAGGTGGCTTGGTGGTTGGACAAGAAAGGTATTTTCTTTGGAATAAGATCAGTGTTGAGTCTGTTGACACGATATGCTGTTTTCTTTAATCCAATATGTCACGTTTCAACAAATATCTTGAATACATGCATATGAAATGTTTACTTAAAAATTACACAATTAAGTTTTGTTCATATATTGACTTGTTGAATGTAATTATGGAATATGCTAAGCATTGTTATCGCAGGCATATATTGTTTTCTGCAATGGTTAACTTTATGTACAAGTGACTCTAGTAGTTGTCAGGGATATTTATGAGGCACAACTTTTTTGTTGATATGCCTTGAATCTAGTTTGCCACTTCGCTGAGTTTTCACGGGGTTTTTTAGTTTTGGATTGTATTCTCTTAGTCTATTTGAATAGATTTAGAGATATGAAATTTCTAACCTGTAATGTCCTCGATAGATCTGTTCTCCGCACCTGTCCATGTACGTAGCCAACACATTGTTGCTGAACCACGTAAATCTGTGTCTTCTTTATCCTGCTTCTATTTATTATTCGATCACTAATCATAATCCGTCACAATATTTCTATTATTAGAAGAGATGCTGACCTCGCATATATTTTGTTTTCTCAATAATCTTAATCTATGCAGACACTCTCTGTTCCACTCAACTGTATGCTTGTCTCTTGACTTATTCATTTCACTTGCCACAGTATGAAGAGAAAGTTTATAACACTGTGACACATAGGATCCCAAAACCATTTGTGCAAGAGACGAGCTTTTTTTCAGAGTCTGCAGATGCTGCACCAGATGATAACTCAAGTGTGCAGAATCTTAATAAAGGCACCATAATAGCCTCTCAGTTAAGCATACCTTCAGAGCACGTGTCTAATAGAGCGAAGAGTGGGATGTTGCTTTCTCAAGATGTTGTAAGATCTTCAAGTACTAGCTTCGTGGATCCTCTTTGCTCTGTCGTACCATGTAGTATATCGGAACATGCATGCTCATCACCTGCTCAAAACTATGAACACAGAGTCTCCCCTGGATATTTAAGTCTTGCTGTCGAACAAGAAGAAGGGAATGTGGTAGAGGCTGGTCCTCTAAACAAAGCAGCTTCTGAAGAGGATATAACAGACGTGCCAGTAGTTAATAAAACCAAGGAATCAGAAGGAGAAGGGATTAGGCCATCTGCTTCCCTTAGAAATCATAGTAAATTATTGCCTAGGCATACAAAAAATTTTAAAAGAGATGGGCATCGTAAGAGATTGTTACCTATACATAGCAATATTGGGGTAACTTTTGGTGGCACATGTTGCACTAATTATGAGGGGACTGCAAAAGATTCATCTGATGCTTTACAGAAGCTGAATAGTCCTACTCAAACTCATGGAATAATTCGGATACAGCGCCTGCTCCCTTCTTTTGACTGCCCTATGCATGATCTTACTGAAGATAATGCAAGTCAGACTGCATTACTGAAAAACAAAGTGAAATCTCCGACTGGTCAAGACCTGCAAAATTTGATACTACAAAGTAAAAGTTATAAGAGTTCCCCAAAGCATGTTCACTTTTTGGAAAAGGAAACAAGCAATCCAAACAACAAAAAGCATCACAAGGTGCAGACTTTATCAAAAACAGGTGACGGAAAAGCTCAAGTATGAATGGTATTTATGTTTGAACTCCGGAGGTTTTCGAGTACTCATTTTGCATGACTATTGCAGGTTATTTTACCAAAGCTGTGAAGAGGTCAACTAGAACTAGTGCACATCTTGAATCCAAAGCTCACCATATGGACCGATTTTTAAAAGGTTCCTCATATAATGAGAAGAAAAGATTGATATTTCAAAACATGGAATTTTTGCTCACGGGCTTCTCTCAACGAAAGGAGAAGGAAATTGAAGGTCTTATTCGAAAATATGGTGGCATAGTTCTATCTCATATCCCACCTAAAAAGGGAAAAAGAAGCTCGAAGTTTAAGCTTCGGTTCCCAATAGTATTGTGTTTGAAGAAGGTCAGTGTCATTTTTTACATCTCATACAAGACTACATTAAATTAAGATGCAGTATGATCTTACATGGTATCTTACTTTCTGTTGAACATTTGTTGAATTAATTGGTTGGTAATGGAAACTTGATATACTAACACTGTTACATACTAGTTCTTTATATATGCTTATCTTTCTAATTGTTGATGCTTTGTCTGTTATCATGTCAGACACAATCGATGAAGTTCTTGTACGGATGTGCAGTGAATGCTTTTGTGCTTAAAGTGAATTGGCTGATTGATTCAATTGCAGAAGGCTGTGTCTTGCCAAAAAAGAGGTACACATTGTATTTATATTGTTTATATGTCCTGCAATATTTTCAAAATAAGAAATAATTAACTATATTTTATCCCATCAAACCACTCAAATAAATAAATAAATAAAAACACTTTTTCCTCCGATCACATCATATACATAAAAAGAAGTTATATTATTATTATTATTGTGTAGTCTAGCTTTTGTGAGCTGCAATTTTTTGTTTCCATCAATTTCTAATATTTTATGAGCAACATTGTATATCCTACTTGTTGGGCTATTTTATTGTTGTATAGCCTTTAGTTTCTAATAACTAAGTCGTTGTTTGATTTTTGTTGTTGAATTCTTCAGATATATGATCTGGTACAGAAACACCAATGAAAATGATGACCAAGTTCATCGGTCTCTTGTTTTTAACAATTTGGGTGTTATGCTTCATGGAAAAACAAAATATGTCAGCAATATTGCAACCATTATTGAGGTATGTCTTGCACCCCTCGAGTACTTTGTAATTTCATGCACAATCAAATGCATATTGTCTACTAATTTGATTTTCATTTTTTGTTGATAATGATGACACCCTCAGGGTGAGAGGGAGACTAGCACCTATTATTTTACATAAAAAAAAGATATAATAGCATATTATATCTTATCGAAAAGTTACTAAAAAAATTTGAATATTTTTGGACATGTGATTACTTTTTTTATTTTTTGAAATTATTTTGATGTGTAGGTGGTTGAACCTTTATTGTCATTAGCAAACACCTTGAAGCATTTAGGATTTTTTTCGTTATATTGCTAAACTAGTCGACCTTAGCCACATCATTATCTGTTCCACATCAAGTAAAATTCAATCTAATTTGCTATCCATTTACAAAAATCATCTATTAAGGTTGTGTATACAATTTGTGAGTAAATAAACAATTTTATTAACGGAGTATTATCTTACTCTAATAGTATTTTCCTGAAAGTTGTATGGTGATGTTGTCTGTCGTCCTCTTTGGCTTGTCCTCGTGGCAAGCCATATCTGTCCAATTCTCATTTAAGGTCTTATCCTTGTTTCTTTATTCGGTGCCATGGCCAGCATGGTGGTGGGATGGTTTTCAAAACTCTGCAAAGATTGATCCAAACCCTCGAAGCCGGCAGAGTTTCAATGGCAGTAGTTGTTGCAGATCAGGAAAATTGCTCGTCCCGCCACTTGAAGCAATGTGCATTAGAGCAGAATATACCAGTCACGGTTAGTTTTTGCTGTCATCTTGAGCTTGGAATTCATTTTAAAATTAAAACAAACTTGAGCATAGCTAGTAGAAATATATTTTAAATTTTAAAAAGTAGATATTAAGCTCGAGACAATCTGTGGTTTTAACTGATTGTTATAACACTATTGATTCTGATGCAGTCGATTCACTGGATTATAAAGAGCTTATATGCTGGAAAGCTTATTCCCTTTGAAGAGAAAAAGAGCCCTCATTATTCCCCAGCTATGAAGCTTCGAATGCACCAAGATTGCATGGAATTAAGTCAAGAAATATAACTCTTGTTAGCGAACGGAAAGGTAATTTACTGCAATTTGATTAAATAAATGAAGAATACAATGCCTTGGTTAACATCTCTTAGACTAATAAACTATGGTACATTTATTACTTTTGGTTATGATTTTCTTTTTGTTAAGGTTCGTACCCGAGTAATTCCTTGATATTGTAAGAAAATTTGGATATTGAAATTCCCAAAACTGCTTCATAATACTACTTTATTGAAATAAACAACAAAGTATATTCTGGCAATGTTTATTCTTCTTCAGTCTACATGATTTTGGGAAATATATTCCGGAGATTTTTACCAGTAAACCTTTATAGAACAAATGCATGTTTTGTCCACCATATGCATGCACCCATTATTTTTCCTAAAATTCTGTTATATATAGAGAAAATCTTACCAGTAGCAGTTAATGATTTTATTTTTTTTTCGATGTAACAGCTGAAATATTTTCAGAGAATTTACTCCATATATATGTGTGCGCCCGTGTATGTGAGATGTATACTTAGATGAACATGATCATTTCGAGGGGGAGATCTGAGATTGCGCCTCGATTTCTCAAAGGCTTTTAAATTGCTTCATTTCATGCTTCAAAATGTATTTTGGTAGAGATAAACCAGAACACTGCTGTAACATCACAGGTAGATGCAATAATTAGTATAAAAGCGTATTAAAATATTTTAAATATTCAGTTTTAGATTTAAATTTGTCTTATCCGTATATTAGATTATCGAATACATTTTATTGATGATCAATATAATATAATATAATTTTCTAATGTTCATAATTTATTTTCACAAACCGCCAGGTTTTATGCCGAGAAATTTAGCACCTGAACTAATGGAGCTGAATAAAAGTACATCTGAAAGATACTCACTTCAACAAGATCCATTTACATGGAACCATAGAAGCGGCCAAGGCTCGCCACATTTACCGGCAAGGCAAGCCTCGCCTCGTCTATTAAAAATGACAACCAAATAGGTACGTATCTATGTTGAAATAAGAGTAATTCATTTACAGTACAAGAAGCATTACATTATATTCGATTTTATGCACCTTAATTCTTTCTCGGAGCATGAATATATCTTCGCCACTTCACTTATCTTGAAATGATGCACCCTTCATGGAAGAATAATATACATACATATATATATATGTATATACAAATATATATAGGGGCATGTATCGATATTTCCATTGACAATTTTCTAAGTTGTAGTCATCACCAGTTACCCGTTCATGAGTTGTTTCTCACACTAACATTTCTGTACTGAAATAGATACATGTCTAATTGACAATTTGCTGGTCTAAGTGTATGAAATGGCTGAAAACATTGTAGATTTGGCATTCATTTATTTCTTTAGGGTTCTATTTTCAGTTGAAAATTTAGGATTCTTTCAAATGAGGTTGATGGTTGGATTCGATATTTTAAATAGTAAAATTTTAAATTAAAAAAAATTATTTCGATAAATAGTGCTAAAAGTGATTTAAAAATACACGTAAATAGTTATATGCATAAAACATCAAATGATTCACTTGCTTTTATTTACTCTTTGTCTTTATGTGCATATGTATTTGTCCTTTACTATAATTTTTATGTAAAAAATAGATTATTTAGAGTAATTATGTATTTGGCTAAACTATACAAATATTTTAAATTTATATGTAAATAATACATGATTTTTTAAAAAAAAGTCAAATTTACTCCTAAATATTTTTGTAGTAATATTTTTTGAATATATTTTTTATTGCACGTTGATTTGAGTGCATTAATAAGTTTGACTTTTGTATACATTTTCAACGCGATCGTAGTATTCCTCTATCAATTTGGCCTTCACCCTTTAAATTCTGTCGCAATATTCAACTCTCTATCTCTATATAGAGAGACATGGACTGTAATTATATTATACATATGATTTTTATAAAAAAATTATAATAAAAAAATGTATAATATGCAACAAGGGAATTTTTTTTTTCTTTTTTAAAAAACACTGTTAAATATTACAATTTGACATATTTATTTATTACTACTATTTAGTAATAAATTTATAAGTTCTTTAACAAATGTTCTTTTAAAATATTATATGAATATACAATTTATCCGAATAATTATATCATTTTTTTGGGATAAATTTATATATAATTTATTTACGATAAAAAATAAAAAAAAATAAAAAATAAAAAATAAAAAAAAACACCCTCAACTCTCGCAGCCAAGTTGACTCTGAAGCTTTGAACACAGAAACGGCTAATTCCGCTTTTAGACCGTGCAACTTTGACCACAAACCCTAGAATCCAAACTATTATCATATTTGTTATATTTATTTATATGGTAAGAAAATAAACTACACTGTGGATAGAAAAATACTTTACGCCTCTCTCTTTTATAATTTTATTTTTTTTTATATATAAATATAAAAAAGTGTGACCGGACCTGCCGCAATTATTTTACACTTCTACATCTAATAATATCAAAAATAAATTAAAATAAAATACATTATAGTGACGCTGCAAGCATGTACTAGTTAGGCTTTTTTTTATGCTTTAAAATAATGATCATAATTTAATTATGCATATCTAATTGAAATCTTCCTAGATCAGGCTTAATCGACTATATATATAATAAAAATTTGGGAAATAAATAATTGGATAATACCTACCAATTAAAAAATTTCTAATTATTCCCAAATAAAATAATATAAATAATTGGTAAGGATATGTTACCGGGGAGCAAAGGACGCTGAAATTTCAGTCGGGACCCGAATCCGGTCGGACCATCTACGAGACTCCAAATAAAGCTTGGATATCTTACCCGCGATCCATTTCATGTCGGGTCGCTTATCCGGATCCTCCTGCACGCATTGCAGACCGACACGTGTCAGTTTCTCTGCGACTTCCACCGGAAAGGAGTCCTTCAACCGCCTATCTATCCACCGCCTTAAATTCCCTTCCACCGCGGCGGCGTCCCCGCCGCCGTCCACCGCCTCCCTCGCGGTGTCGATAATGGAAATCAGATTGTGATTCCCGCTGCTCCGGTCGAATTTGTACCTCAGAGGCTCCTGTCCGCTCATAAGCTCGAGAATCACGACGCCGAAGGCGTACACGTCGGATTTCTGCGTCGCTACGCCGGTCGCCTTGAATTCCGGCGACATGTAACCTCCGACGCCTTCGAAATGATGCTTTTCAGGAGTCGCCGTCGCCGGCGCCGCCGTCTCGCCGCAAAGCTCGGCGGCGCCGAAGTGGCAGATTTTGGCGTTGAAGGACGGCTCCGTTACAATTATGGCGCTGCTCTTGACGTGCTTGTGGACCATATCGATGCTCAATCCGGCATTGTTGTGGATGTAATCGAGGCCGTGCGCGACGTCCGTGGCGATCTGCATCCGCGAGATCCAAGTCGAGAGCACCGTGAAATCGCGGTTGATTTTGCTCCGGAGGCAAACTCCTAAATCCGATCCTTGAACAAATTCATACACCAGGTAAATATGCTCACCGGAGATCGAAACTCCTAGAAGCTTCACGATGCTCGTGAAATGACTCTTACTAATAACCGCCATCTTCCGCTTCACATCCTCACTCGTCATCACCGATTTCCGCAGCTTCCTCTGAAAAACCACCACATCCTTACCGCTAAGAACGCACCGCCATGACTGCGACGACGACGACGCGGCGGAGTGTCGCCGGCCGAGGAAATTGTTCGTAGCGGCGCGAATCTCGGAAAAATCGTAGATCTGCGCACTTTCGGGGAGAGAATCGCGCAGACTGGACAACGAGGTGTGGCTGGATACGGAAGTGGTGGCAACGGAGCTTCCGAGGCGGTAAGAGGAGGTAGAGGCGGCGGCGGAGGTGGTGGAGCCGCTCTGGAACGGATTTGCGAGGGGAGACGTCGGCGTATTCGACGGCGAAGGTTTCTCCGATGAGTGCGATCTGGAGTGCGCTGTGCGTGCAATTCTAGGGTTAGAACTACGCGTCCGGGCAGGCTCTGAAGCTCTGGTAGCCATTTTTGACCTGCACATAACAAAGAAGAAGCAAATCTGGAGAGGAAATGGAGGAGGAATTCATGGATGAAAAGTTCGTCTCCAGATTTGATCGATGGAGAAAGGCATTCTTCGTGTTTCCCCTATTCAATTTTACTTACATTTCATCGCCTCTATCGCCTAACAATATACCTTTATTTTTACTTGGACTTTCTTTCTCTCTGTGTCTGAACAGTGACAGTGACAAAGACAGGAGTCTTTTATAATCCCAATATTTCAAGCCGAAATTTTGTCGACTGTGTTTGTAGATAGCTTTGAAATTTAAATAACATAATTTCGAATTAAAATTATTGTTTAATGTTAGTAATATCAATTTCAAAGTATAGCATTATTATAAATACGCGAATTTTAAAAATATGATAAATAAATATTTAATAGCATAAATTGTTATACACTCCCTTCCATAACAACGGTTCCAATTATTATTTTTTTTACTATTTTCTAATTTAATAATTGTAATATCTACTTAATATAATAAATATATTTTTAGTTTACAATATATTATATAAAATACCACAATCTTTAATAAAAATATTTTTCTTTTTTTACTACAATCCAATATAAACAAATATTACTCGATTCATTTGTAAAAACAATAAAATTCAAGCTCATGTTCAACTCGTAAAGAGCCAAATTAATCTCACGAGTTTAAAAAAAAAAAAAAAAAAAAAAAAATTCGAGCTCATGTTCTACTAGTAAAAAACCAAATGGAGCTTATCTTACTGATTACTCAATTCCTTTATACAACACATGTCAATTTTTTGGTCTTTTATTTTTTAATTTTATTTTTTTTATCCGAAGCACATCTCAGTTTAAAATATAATGAAAATGTACTTATTTTAAATGATGGTAATGAGTACTACTATTTTATTCAATCTAATTATATAATTTATTAAAACTATAATAATATCTATAAATTAAACACTCGGAATATTGATTTTGTACAAATATCCCCATGCTGTATATATATTTGAATCTCCCTTTAATGATCAATTAATCTCTACACAATTATCATTCACTTGATATTTTTCTTAAACCTCTTCATTTAGTGGGCCAATTCGTTATTAGGCCAAGCTAGATTATTTCTAGTAGGCCCAATCCATTTTTGTCAATTTAGTCCACTAAATTCAGTCGTTAACACAAGGCCCATGGGCCATATATTTTTATTTTTTTAAAAAAAAAATAAATTATTATACGATTTTCATAATTTCAGATAAAGATGTACTATAATTTAATTTTATAAAACATTACATTTAATTTACTATATTTTTTTTTAAAAAAAAAAGCAGACATCCAAGATAATTTGAATCATAATTTAAATTAAAATCTACTTATTAAATCTATATTTTTATTTATTTTTATGCATACATATGTGATTTAATTTATTCTGGTCCAAATTAGGGTTGGGTGAAGTCCACTTGGACTATTCGGGCCGGGCCGGTTCGTAAAGGTTATTTAAGTAATTTCGTTTGGGCTTCATTTGAGTGAGTGGCGTGTCTCGTTCGTTCAAATCAAATGAACACATTTTGATTTGGATTCCTCTGTGCAGCTCAACCTCCTGCGAAGAAGACGGACATGGATGGCGTCCTTCTCCGATGATTTTGAGTGTAATCCATCCTTTTTTGTTGTTTTCTTTCAATTGTTTAGCTGCTCGCCAACTGATTATCATCGTATTTGCTTGGTTAATTTGTTTCGCTCCCTTTCTAATCGTGTCTTCCTGTTATTTTCCTGATCGTTTTGCGTTTGCACGATATCCTTTAAGATGAAGGCGTTTTTCCCTGTCTAGTGTTTGTTTTCATTATATTAGGCTTTGAGCATTTGAGGATGAGGAAGTCTTGGAAATGGCTTTAATTTGTGTGTGTTTTGGTCCTGTTGTTACTCTACAATTCAGTTTATGGATTAGCTTGAGTTATCTATGCTTTTGTTCTTATGAATTGATGTTGCGCAGGTGGAAAATCGTGGTCACAGTGATAGGTTTCATATTGTGTTCTTTCTGATAATTATTTCATCTTTTTTATTGTGTTCTGATTAGTGTTACAATAATTGTAAATCAGGCTAAAGCTGAAGAGATTTGGTGTTTTTATCCTTGTGGTGTCATCTAATGTAATGTATTAATATTATTAGCCAATAAAGTGTAGTAAAACTTGTCTATTATCAATCACTTAATGTAGTGAAGTGTTAAAACGAAACTTGCACTTACATTTATAAATCCTAACCTTTTCAATTCAATAATTATGCTGTTTCTAAATTTCTATCCTCTTTGTTCTTGCTGTGTTTCAGGCTCTGATATTGATAGGACAGCATTGAAGGAGAATTTGGGGAACTGAGCTGAAAATAGGTTTGATTTGCTTCACCTATGAAAATGTCTACCAATTTCTCATTTTTTTTATTCACCTAGTAACAGAAAAGAAGTTAAATATTGTTCACTGATTTCAGATTTCGGAAGTTGAAGGAGGTGCAAAGTAAAAGAATTGCTGTGTGTGGGTACTTGTTAGATCTGCTGGTGCACATAAATTGATTCCACGGTATATCTAACGTGCAAATATGTAATTGATGGGAATCTTACATTTATAGAAATGATAAAACTTCAAAACTCCACTATAGCAATCGAAAGTAATAAGACAATTTTATGATGCAGTTTAGGTGAAGACAGGCCAGGGCTGGAAGAGTAAATTAAGGGGTCGGGTGTGGTTTGATGTCTCTCAGGATAAAATCAGTTGTAGACAAGTTTGTGCAGGAGCTGAAGGAAGCTCTGGATGCAGACATACAAGATAGGATCATGAAAGAAAGGGAGATGCAGAGTTATATTGAGGAGCGTGAACGTGAGGTTGCTGAGCGCGAAGCTGCCTGGAAGGCTGAACTCTCTCGTCGTGAGGTATGGTAATTCACATGTGATACTTTTATTGTCTTGTTAAATTCAGCATACACATGTTTATTTTGAGTGAAGTGCAAAATCACAATAAAAACTTTAAATGATGTCGATAATTATCTTTTTGATGAACTTACAAACCCCCATAAACGAAGACCGTATTTGGATATGTTTTGGATTTTCTTGATAGTTTTGGAAACAGTAAAAAAAAATGAATAAAGGTTTGATGTTTTACATAGAAAATAGGTTTTTTATTAATATTTTTAATTATTCCTCCGTCCCTTAACAAACTATCCATTTTTTCATTTTTGTCCGTCCCTTAACAAACTATCCATTTTTTCATTTTTGTCCGTCCCATAACGAATTATCTATTTCATTTTGTAGTAATCGTACTATCTAACCTTAAAAATACTCTTACAATTTATAATATATTACACAAATGTCATTACTTTTATATCATACAATACTAATAAGCTTATTTTAGTCTTTTATAATTTATTCTTTCTACATATCAATGTAATACTAATATACATTAAAACTCCGTGCAAAAAGTAAATTGATATATAGTTATGGGATGGAGGGAGTAAAAAATAAGTATTTGATTTGATTTTTTTTAAAAATGTATTGTTGATGAATAGTATCAAAAGTGCTTGTAAAACATATGTAACTCGATGAAATACTACCTAAGATATCTCAAAATTATCATAATGTATATGTATAAGAAATTCATTAGTTTCAACACTTGTTAGTTTGTTCTTGCAAGTTGATTTAGCATTTGTGATGCATTGGGAGTGTTCTTTTCATGGATGTGCTAAACCTAATACTCATTTATTATGTTGAGCTTCGATTCTTCTACGGTAGAATTTTATCAAAATGTTCAAGTTTAGGAAAATTTTGATCAAAGCTCGGTCAGGCTTGGCCTAAATCAATATATTGTTGTCATCATCGTGTTCTAAACTCGAGTTCACTAGTTTTAATTATATAGAATTAATAACATGCAGGCGGAAATAGCAAGACAAGAAGCAAGGCTGAAGATGGAAAGAGACAATCTCGAAAAAGAGAAAAGTGTGCTGATGGGAACTGCCTCGAACCAAGACAATCAAGACGGAGCCCTTGAAATTACGGTCAGCGGGGAGAAGTACCGTTGCCTCAGATTTGCAAAGGCCAAGAAATGAGACAGACGAGCAAAATGACATCCAACTAGAGACGGAATGCTACACTAATGTTTGCTTCTTTTCTTCACATCTCTTTTGACTCGTTTAGAATTTGTTTGTGGATAGTAACAAAGCAACATGGGAGCCAAGTGTTAGCATTTTATTTATTTACAGATGATATGCAAAATTTATGCCTTCAAAAATATCGTACCATCTGTGTTGAACCATTCACTAATAAGTTTTAATTGTCTAGTTTTTGCTACAGATTTCTCAAAGGTTCGACCAAAGAGGAGATTGGACTGGACATTGATTTCAAGAATAGTTTTGACGAGTAAACATACGACCATTTCGACAGTTTACTATCCAAAGGTAAATCTGTGTTTGTTTTTTTTCTTCAGTAGATTTTGTGGTGAATTTAGTTCTAAACTGTTGTGTTGAAGGGTATGAATTACATGATAGATCTCTATTGAAGTACAGAACTAGGGATGGGAATAGGCGGGGCTGCCTGTCAGCTACCTACGGCCTGGCCTAGATAAGGCCTAGCCTGGCCTGATCTATTTACTAAAAAGGCCGGGTCAAAAGTTTTTTAAAATCTTTTTATTTAAATAGAACAGGTTTAGGCTAAAAAAAAAAAAAAAGTTTTTTTAATTGACAGACCAATCTACTTAATATTATTATTTTTTTATAAAAATATTTTTATAATTATATATTAAAAATAACTTTCTATCTAATAATAATATTTATTAAATAATTTTAATTGTAAATTTATCATAAAAAATAGAATGTTTTTACTTTTGTATATAGTAAATAATTGTTTATATTTTTTATTTATTTTCTATTTTTAACTAAATTTGTAGATAAACAAATAAATAAATAAATAAATAAAAATGTTATGTAGTTTTTAAATAGGCTTATAGGCCAGCTTTTAAAAAGGCCAAGCTCAGGCTCAGGCTTTTAAAAAAAAAATTTAGGCTTAAGCCAAATATTTTAAAACAGGCCAGGCTTATTTAGCCAAAGCCTGACTTGGTCAGGCCTATTTCCATCTCTATACAAAACTATTAAATTATGGTGTAGATCTATAAAATATTGACCTGAAATTTTGTTACAAGTTTACATTAAATGACAAAATTTTGTTGAAGTAAATGTAAATTTCTTGAAACTAAAAGAGGGTTGTTAGTTGTTAATTATTTAGATGAATGGGTGTTTGTTCCGGTGCTAATTTATACTCCCTTTGTCCATTTTTTACCGAACTAATTGATAACAAACATTTTTAAGCAATTAGTTTTTTGTTATGACTAGACAAATTTATTTTTTAGTTTGTATATAGAAAATGAAAGAGTAAATAAAGGAGTGCAAAATAGTATTACTTTCGTTCTAAATATGGTGCAATATTTGTTTTCGATACGAAAATTTAGGTAGATAATATTAAATAGGATATTTGAGAATTAAGTGATATGATGAGACTAAAAAATGTATTTATTTGATTGATGTGATAAGAAAAAATATGGGGTAGAAATTATATGTATTTAATTATTTTTTATTTTAGAAATGTTACGGGGTTTGAGATGATAGAGTATATTTTATATATACATAAATAAGATAATAATTATTGAACGTTCCAAAATAGAAAAGTAAAATAATATTAATTTGTGGTAGGATAGAGTATTATTTAATATAATATCGATGACATAGTAGTATATGTGCTCTATTAATTAAAATTTTGTACCATGTTTCTATTTTTTTATGTGCTTGAATATTTAGGGTGTGTAAATGTTTGGTTTTGTTACGCTGTATTGATTTTCTGTATAAAATTTTATTAAGAATGATAAAATAGGTGGCAAAATAAATGAAAAAAAAAAAAGCCTCAAAGAAAATACTTTCATAGGTTTTTTTTTTTAACAAGAGAAAAATGTGTAATGATCACTTGTCATTATTTTTGTAGTTAAATTTTAGTATGGGCAAAATTTGTCATTTACTATGTGACAAAATATAGGAGAATGATATAATTAAGCATAAGTATGTTACAAAGATGGGTTTGTTTGATTATAAATTTTTTTAAGTATTTTGAATTTTTTATTAATAATATAAATATGTTTATTTAAAATATCTTATTAAAAACTTGTTTTTATTTTTTTAACATTTCAAAACAATCTGAAAAACAAAACTAAAAAAATTAAGTTTTTTATTTTATATTTTATTTTTTGAACTATTGGGTTTGCTTAGATGTATTTTGTACAATATGTTTTGGTATTTATAACAATAGAAATTAAATTAAATTATATATATATAAATATATATGATATTAGTAAGTATTTGATATAATATTATTAATAAAAAAGTTACTTTAAATTGATAATTTAAGCAAAATTTATTTTAAACTTTTGGCTGTAAAGAATGATCTGTAATTATCGTTAAGTCGTGTAGTTTACTATAGCCAAAATAGAATTATCTTGTTTTACTTTCTATAAGTGCTTAATATCAATAATGATTTCCTCAAATATCATTACAACAATAATTTGATGTATTTCTAAAAAATTCGAAGCCACAAGGAAATACGAGTAATTGATGAACAATGAACGCGCATGGATATTGATGAAATCCAATGAACAAAGGTTGAGAAGAACAAGCTTGAAAACGACGCGAATGGATATGATGTAAGTGACGATAAATCGAATGTATATAGACATTGCATGTGAAGTAGAAAAGCGCGAGAGAAAGCGATGGGCGAAAAAGAGTGGAAATAATTTGTAAGGTCGAACAATGAGTGGCTGTAACATGAGAGCTTATCGTGTATATGGAGAGTTGATCGCGTGTTTAATTAATTCTTTGGCATTTATAAATAAATATATATATGCATGTTCTTGCGGGGCGGATCGAGGTGGGGGCAAGGGTGGGATGCAGCCCCCCTCCCCTCCCCTCCCCACCCCAAATTTTTTTTTTTATTTAAATTTATGTATTTTTTATTTAAATATATGTAATATAGAAAAAATAGATAGATAAAAAATATTAAAAAATTGTATATCTTGTCTAAATAAAAATGAATATAAAAAAATATTTATAATACGATAACACATAAATATTTAGAAATAAAATATATTATTTATAAATTTCAAAATTAACCCCCTCGAATATAATCTTAGGTCCGCCATTGTTTGCATTCATACAATATTTGTACATATATTATATTCTTTCTGTCTTATTCAAATATATATATATATTAATTTTTATAGTAAATTTACAAATATTAATAATATTTATCGGTAAGTGGAGGCGTATAAAAATCGTATAAAAATACGTGATGGACACTATTTTCTAAGAGTTTGTTTAAATTTTGTTAGGGTGTGTTCGTTTGTAGAATTTTAACTATTTATCCAAATTTTTCCCCCAAAAAACATCAAATCAAACACATATTTTTTATATTATACTAAAAATTAATTTTACATTCAAAACATCACATCAACACCTATTTATATCACATCATACAACTATTCAAATTCAAAATTTTTACTATTCAAATCTCAACTCAAAATCCAAAACCCCAAACAAACACACCCTTAGTATATTTGTAATTCATCAAAAAATTTGAAATATTTTTGTATTAATATTGTGACAATTTTACTATGGAGATATCGTGTAGGTCCAACCATCAATTAGGGGTGACCCAATATGAATGACAAGCCAACTACATTTTAATAATTGTTAGCTTCCAGCCTTACACAATTTATTTTCACCTATTTGTACAAAATTATATATATTAAAAAAAATGAACTGTTTATTTATAACAATAATTTTGAAATAATATTGCATATATATATATATATATATGTATATTTAATAAGATATTATATTAAATAGTAAAAATTTTTAAAAAAGGAAAACTGGTGGCTGTGGGGTTCGAACCCACGCGCACTTATGTGCAGAAGATCTTAAGTCTTCCCCCTTAACCTCTCGGGCAAACCACCTGTTTATTTTATTCTTCCAATTTCGTTTTTAGTAAACTTATAATTAATATATTACTTTCTCTATATATTTTTTTAATAACGTATTAATATTACTTTCTTAATTATGCCAACATTAGTATATAAATGAACTTAGATGTATTTCCACGGCGTGTATAATTTTAATAGTTATTATTATTATATTAACAAATTTTCCCATTTGTACACAAATGACAAATCTTGGTTTGTTTGGTATATAATTTTATTTTTTGTTAATTTTAGCTTATTGATAAACACTAGAGAATATGAATTTTTTGTTAGATCAAATCAATTTTTTTCATTTTTTTTTAAATATATCAAATATATATTACACTAGAGAATATTACATCAAAATATATTTTCTATACAAAATAGTTATAAATGCTAGAGAATATTACATCAAAATATATTTTCTATACAAAATAGTTATAAATGTTATCAAAACTGTGTTCTTTTACTCATAAGAAACCAATATATTAAATTAATACTTATTATTTTTATAATTTCACATAATTTTTTTTTTTTTTAAAAAAAAACCAAAATACAAAACAAACCCACCATTTTCAAACTATTTTTAAATGGATATATTTATATTTAAATACTATCCATTGGATTACATCAAATGTTTATTTCATCCAAAACAAAACCACATTTTTAGGGTGCATTTGTCTGGGTTTGAATTTTGAATTGTAATTTAAATAGTAAAAATTTTGAATTAAAATAATAATATAATGCGATAAAAATAAGTGTTATGTTTGATATCTTGAATATAAAATTAATTTTTATATAAAAATAAAAAATAAATATTTGATTTAATTTTTTTTAAAAAATTAATGAATAGTAAATTTTGTAAAGAATCAAAACAAACGCATATCCAATCAGAAAACCTCAATCTAGTTCGTAAGATATAACCTAGTGATGGGAGGGTAAAATTCGTTAAAAATAAAAATAAAAATAGTCCCAATCATCTAACTGCAATATATGCACAAAATTAAAAGAAAAAAATTAAAAAATAGTCCTAATCATTTTATTGCAATATATGAACAAAATAAAAAATAAAAAATAAAAAATAAAAATAGTCCCAATCATTTTATTGCAATATATGCACAAAAATAAAATTCAAAGGCATTTTGGTATAGGCAGTCAGACGCCTGCGTCCACACTTAACGCAAGTGGACTGATTAATATCTTTGGCGCTGCACCTATACACTAAGCTACAGTAGGTATATAATTAATACTATAATTTTTAATTAAAAAATATATATATATATAAAATAATAGATATAGACTCATTCATCTAATGAGAGGGAGAGAGAGTGATAGACACGTTCTCAGTGGTGGTAAAACGACGACGTACAGTTGGTTATATGAAATTCAGCCATGGTAGCAGCTTCGTCCTCGCCTTATCGGCTTCCTTCGAGCATGTCGATGCTGCGGCGCCAGGGGAGATGCAGAGGAAGAAGTTCCTCGATCCTAATTCAATTACCTTTGCAGCTCTATCCAAACCTGTTGTTGATCATGAAATTAGTTAGTTGTATATTTAATTGAAATGATTTCAGATAATTCATTGTACTTTTGGATAAGAAATAAGAATCGATTGAATAGGAAGTAGTAACTGAATTTTGGAGACTTACTCTCCAAGCTAAACTGCGAGTAATGAAGGTTGAAGGCGGCGGCGTCGCTCGACGGAAGCACCGACACGCGCACCTCCTTCAAGTACTGCAACAGAGCGGCGGCGATTAGATCGGCAACCGTCGCCTCCGGAGGAATAACCACTCTCACGGCGCAGAGGCTCCTCTGTATAGTCACGTTCAGAAGAAGCTTCGTTAGTTTCGGCGGAGCTATCAGCGCAACCACTTCGTCCGCCGATCTACCGCCGGATCTTCGCCCGGAGAGAATTTCCGGCACAGTTTTCGGCCTCGGAAGCATCTCCGATGCGGCGGAGACTCGTCCGCCTCTTCCGTGAAACGACGACGCTTTCTCTGGTACTTTCCCCTTCCTATTCTTCTCCGGTTCTCCTCTCCGGTGATTCTTCGATGTCGGCATAGAATCTGTTCAACGTATCGTATATATACACAACACGACTCGTAGCTATTCGATCGACGCTACCGATGACTACCTTAGGCGGCGGTAGCGGAAGCGCCGGAGGAGAGGAGCAGCTGAAGCCAGCGGAGACCGGAGTCTGCTAGGTTTCCGGCGATCGTCGGCGTACATATGGAGAGAGAGAAACTTGCAAAAGGCGTGGAGAGTTGAGGGAGGAGAGCGGTTATTGAGAAGGGCCGGCGGCTATTTATATAGGACGAGAAAAGGGTAAGGTCGTCTTTTTACGTTTGGATTTGATTTTGGATTTGGTATTTAATTTTGGATGTGAGATTGAGTTTTGAACGGTAAATCTTAGGTTATATTAATTTCTTGATATAATATGTACTAACATAATATATATTTTGATTATAAATTTGAAATTTTAATATAATAGAACTAATAAAAAACAGATAATAAAATTTGAATATTTTGTAATTAAAAAAAAAAAAATCCAAAACGTATCAAACAAACACATCTTAAGGTTCTGTTTGGCTGCGTTACTAATTGTCAATTGATGAGGAGAAACTATTTGGGATTTGGGAAGGCTTCAGGGTGTTTCCTTGGGGTCCCGTTATTTGTTTGTTTTGATAATACTCCGTGTTTAATTTAAATTCTATCCATTTTAAAATATATTTTAAGTATATGGGTGTGTTCTTTTTTATAGAGTTTGAAATTTATTATTAATTTTTTTTTTGAGTTAATATGAGATTTTGTGAGAGAAAAAAATATTTTCGTTCTAATTAATTTGTCTTTTTTTTTTTGTTCGTTCCATATAATTTATTTTTTTTTTTTTGAAAATATAATTATACATTTTAATTACATTTCAAAATGCACAATTTATATTTTGTTTATTTTAATTAAATTATTTAGTCTTAATCTTAATATATAATTAATTTTATTAAATCATAATTATTTTTACTAATACAACTTACTAACTACTCAATATCTATCGTGCCTAAACTAAATGAGACAAATTAGCAAAAACGGATAAATTTTTTTTTTCAAAAATACATAGCATAAATAGTAGAAATTTGAAATTTAGAATGTAAGAAAACACATTAATAGTATCTAATTAAAAATATATATATATTAAATTTGGTATATGTATTTCTGTCAATTCAATTAAATTTATTCTTTGTGCCGCCTATCAAATTTTATTGTTATTATTTTTAATTTATTCGTTAAATATATCTTACTAATTTTGACAAAATTAACAAATTAACTAAAACTATTAATGCACTGACAATGGTCCAAACGGGAAAAAATGCCTTCTCTGATGGCGCGTCGAAGCCAAAATCCCAAACTTGGCCTCAAACATTTTGGTCAATGTGTAGGGCGATCGAGCACGCCCATTTATCACCTTGTGTACAAAAAAAATTGTATTTTCACAAAGTCATGGCCTTAGGTCGTTTAAAAAAAATAATAAAAAAAATAATAATAAGAGAGAGAAAATAGTGCGGAGCAATTGAACACGCTCAAGTATCACACTGTGTACGACTAGAACTGTAAAACAAACAACTTGTTCGAAAGTTTGGCTCGATTCGGCACATTTGAGCTTGCTAAGAGCTCGTTCGTTAAGCTAAATGAGCCAAACACGAACATAAATTTTAGTTCGTTGTGTTCACGAACTAGTTCGAGCTTGTTCGCGGATAGTATTTATTAAAAATAAATAAAATAATAATTTTATATTTAATAAGTATATATATCTTTATAAATATTATATTTCATTCCATTTTTTATACAAATTTATTAAAACTTATAAATTTTATTTTTTTAATAAATTTATTATTAACTAAATTTATTTTTTTTAAAAAAAATTAAATAAATAAAATAAAATTTCTCTTAATGAACCGAGTTGAGCCGAATACGAACAAAAAAATTGTTAAACGAGTCGAGCTCAAACAAAAATTTCAACTCGTATATTTTAATGAGCGAACACAAGCCGAGCTCGAATCCTTAACGAGCCGAGCTCAAACATGACAAGCTCGACTCTGTTCGACTCATTTTACAGCTCTATGTATGACAAACACAACCGTGTGTTTAAAAAGCCACGGCCGTGTTTAGTGTTCACATGACCGTATTGAAAAAATACAAAAGGATTGGGGTTAGACAAGCCCGTGTACATGTCCGTGCACAGATAGCGGAGTTCTAACATGGGCAGGTATATAGGTATACAGACATGTATAAGTCCCGACAACATTATGTATACAAAGAACACGATCGTTTTAATATTATACTTATTTATAAAAATGTTACGATATTTATATATTTATTTTATTTTTAAATATTTTCAACATTTTATTAATTCATATATAATTAAATAGTCTTACTTTATATAACAATGGATTGATATATAATATTATATTTGTCCACCTCTAAAAGTTAGATTTACTTTTTGTATCATTGTACTTAACATTAAAAATATCATTATATTTGTATAATTTTTTTTTTACAAATATCATTCTAGTATTAGTATTATAAGACACTAATAGAAGTATTTTGCAATCTTTTCTTAATTTGTACAGTATACATTTTGATATAATAATTAATATTCAAATATCAATAGGCAAAAAGTAAATAAAACCCATAAAGTCGGACGGGATAGTATTATATAATTAAAAAATATATATCTACTTCAAATGAGTATACTCTCTCTGTTCCACTTCAAATGGACCATTTGAGTTTTCTAGTAGATTAAGAAAGTAGAAATGTATAAGAAATTTTAATATTTTTATCTTTGACTTTTTGTATAAAGTAATTATTTGTGTAGTGATATGTTTGTAATTTGGATAAAAGTTAAAGTATTTTGGTATTAGAGTATTATCACTTTTACTAAAATATGGTCATTAATACTTTTAAGTATGAAGAACGAAATTAATAAAAAGATACTTTGAGTTGAACCGGATGGAATATGATTTTAAGAAAGTTTTTTTTTTTTTTTTTTTAATGTGAGAACCCGCATCTGCTACTCTTTGAATGCGTTCTGGGTAAACACTTGATCTAGTTTAATATCTTGCAAATTAGGTCCGACAAATTAAATTATACTAAGTGAATTATGTATGACATGTGAGCCTTGGAGATATCGAAAATTTGAATCGTGATTATGAGTCTACCTCCGCACGATGAGGTCATGATAGAGTAATTTAGTCACATCACAAGCATGTGAGATGTGTTGGGCAAGCCATTGTGAATGTAGTAAGGGTGTGTTTGTTTGGGGGATTGGATTGAATTTATACTATCATCCAATTTTTTTTTCCCTAAAACATTAAATCAAACACCTATTTTTTATTTTTTATATTATACTAAAAATCAATTGTACATTCAAAATATCACATCAATAATTATTTATATCACATCATACAACTATTCAAATTCAAAATTTTTACTATTCAAATTCCAATTCAAAATCCAAACCTCCAAACAAACACATCCTAAAGTGATCAAAACAAACAAAATAGAATAAAACAGTGTCAAAATCACACATGTACAGTCGAGTAGTTATTCTAACATGAGCATGCATATCATAATAATAATAATAATAATAATAATGATAATAAAAAATAATAATAATAATAATAATAGTGTGTTGCCAATTGCCATTGCCAGCTTGCAGAGGTGGGGGCGAATGTCACGTGCCACCTGTTTTGCCTTTGGTCGAATGGTTTAACACCAGCTCATTTATATATAAAAGTTGGCCTAGCATTAAACATTCTCCCATACTTTATAATGCAATGTCCATAAGTCAATTGTTAAGTTCCTCGACAGTAAGATCAACGACGGTGGATTATTACAGATTAGCTCTGATACCAATTGTGACATCTTGATCTACAAATTATGCAAAGTCGAGCGTGTCGTATAAATCCTAAAATTTTATTTGATTGTAATTTAAAATTAATTTGAAATAAATATCAATTTAATTTTCTATTTTTTATAAAATAAAATAATATTTTTATTTAAAATCATAAAAAAACAATAATAGAAAAATATTTTTAATTTAGGATAAACTGTTTTTTTAATCTCGTATCCGATCCATTTATCATTTTAGAATTTTAAGTGGATTTTATCTTAAAATAGTCTCGTAAATAAATTTTTTTCACTAAATGGTTTTTTCGTGCCAGACTCGCCACGCTGGTCCGCCGTTGTTGACATAGTGCCGACGTGACTGACATGTTATCGCCACGTAGATGCCACATCAACAACAAAATATATTTTTTTTTAAAAAAAAAATTATTTTCAAAATGTCTTGGTAATTATATTTTAGTCTCGTATGTGACATCCTTTACCATTTTTATATCTTTAAATAAATTATGTCTGAAAATGGTATTGCAATTAAAATTTTTTCGCTAAAATAATTATCCAACATGACATCTACGTGGGGATGACACGTCAGGAACCATTTTAGCAAAAAAAAAAAATAATAATTACGAAACTATTTTCAAACAAAATATACTTAAAATTCTAAATAATAATAATAATTAAAAAAAAGTAAAATACGATGCTAAAAAAATAATTTTTCCTTTAATTTAAGATAATAACCAAACTATCCTAGAATAAGGATACTAAAGTAGTCATAGTGAGTGAGTCAATTAAGGAAGGTGTGGGTGGCTGTTCGAACATCCATTGACTCGTACGAGATTGGCGGCGGCTAAGCATCCGACCAATCATATCCTCGCCCTCCACGTGTCCCATGTTGTCGTCACAATGTCCAACCCTACGTACAACCTTAACGACACTTAATAGTGTCCCTCTTTTTTTTAATTTCAAGGGTGAGTGTCTTTTTAGTGACTTTGAAAAGAAAATTTGATTTGAATTTGCATTTGCATTTGCATTTGCATTAAAATTGAATTTTAAAATAGTTTATTTTCGTGTTTCTTTGTGTTATTACGACTTTGTTTATTTTGTACTCTTTTGTAATCCAAATCTATTTAGTTTTTATTTTTGTCGTCTAAATTTATTTTTGATTTTTTTTAAGTAAAAAATTATATTTTTTTTAATTAAAAAATTATATCCAATCAAATAAACATACAATTGAAAGACGAATAAAATATTTTTTAGTAGATATTTTTTTTATTTTACATATAAAAAATATGTTGGTAGTATAAAAATAATTTGTCTATTGAATTATTATTTGTGTGGGTAAATAATATATATATATATATTATATTAATGTATATATAAATATATATTTATTAATAAAATTCATGGATAATCGTTCCAGCAAACAAACCCTATA